TTCTTTTTTCTTTTTTTTTTGTCTTTGAGACAGGGTCTCCCTATGCAGTTTAGGCTGACCTTGAGCTGACTTTGTAGCCTAGGCTGGCCTCAAACTCGCAACAATCCTCCTGCCTCAGCCTCCCCAGTGCTGGGATTACAGGCATGTGCCACCATGCCCCACCCTTCTTATATTTCTTAACAAATATAATTCATTTAAAGCAGTGCCTATGTCCATGCTGTAGAATTGTTAGGTGTTATTAATACTATCACCATCATCACTGTAGAGAGAACTGGTAGTGTGTGGAAATCTTTCTCACAGTGAGGGCATCTTGCTGAAGTCTTTAGTTGGGCAGATTGCTGTAAGTCTATGTGCATTTTAAAATATACATTTCAAAACATTTATTTGGGAGCTTTTGAGGGTATTAAAGCTCTAAATGTTCATAGACCAATTTCATACACATTTGAGTAGATAAGGTATGTATTCTGTTGAGAATGTAAGGAGTGATTTTAACTATCATAATTCCTGTAACAGAGCTTAAGCAGAATGGTGGTAAGCCCTACCTTTCTGTGATAACGGGGAGAGGAAACCACAGCCAGGGAGGAGTTGCTCGCATCAAACCAGCTGTCATTAAATACCTCACAAGCCATAGTTTCAGGTGAGTATAGATTTCTAGTATCAACAAGAACAACTGCCTATATATGGCTAAGTAGACACTAATAATATGCTTAGAACTATTTGTCAAAGTTGGCTAAGTAGACACTAATAGTATGCTTAGAACTGTTTGTCAAAGTTGGCTAAGTAGACACTAATAGTATGCTTAGAACTATTTGTCAAAGTAGTTAACTAAATGTAGCCATCTGAGTTCAGCCACAAGTTCATGTTTAAAATATGACATAACTTTTTCTGCTAGATGTATGCTATATAATAAACCTGAAATAGAAAATGTTTGTTATCAATAATCATTAAATAAAACTCTATCATAACTTTAAAATTATAAAAAATTTAAATGTATTTGTTCTTTTGATAATGTATAGTATCAAAGATAGATTAAATATATCATAATTTAAGATTTACTGTTTAACTTTTGAAAGAAAAAAATGCATTTTGGGGTGGAATTGGAGGACTTTTGCTAAAAGGTGGCTATAGTTGAATGTGTTTATGCTTTAGAAAAACAATTCAGTTAATATGACTTCAGCTTTGTAAGTCCAATGCCATTAATGGTCTTTTGCTGCAGACATGAAATGTCGTTTTCCATTATGTTATTATTCAATAATAAAATTATAGAAAAGTCCAAGATTAAAGATCTGTTGATAGATGGGTTCCCTGTGTATCCTTAACTTTGCTCTTCCTTCAAGTCAGTTAGGGTAGCCTAGTTTGTTTATGCCATGTAATAAAATGTTACTTGCCTACATTATAGAAAATGGTAGCATTAATTCGAGCATAAAAACAGATGACATTTTAGAGAAATTTTTATAAAACTAGTAGTTATACCAGAACATTGTCATACTGAGATTAATGATCTGTTTCAGAGAGTAGTGTTCCTTGGCTTTTACCCTAAGAGAGTTGAAAGTATTGCAAGGCCAGAGGAGCCAGGCTTGCTTTCTATATCAGATGTTTCTTCTGTGCATTCTTGATGCCCAGAAGCAATGCAGTGCAAACACAATCTTGTCATTTAAACGACAAGTAGACTCTATGGAGTCAGGCAGGAGAGGTTTTGAAGAATCTTACATTGTGTTAGTACTTACTGAGTTAGGAATAACCCTTAATAATCCTGTGGGATTATATGTGACCTGACAGTAGAGTAAAAGGAACATAAGCATGTGGTAGAATTGGTCCTAGATATTAATAAAGGAGAATGCTTTGATAGTAAATATTATTTTAAGCATAGACACTTAGAGTCGATTAAAAGAATATTTTAGTCTATTTGAAAATTTTTATCTTTAAAACAACTCTTTTCTCATTTCCACAGGTTCTCTGAAATTAAACCAGGGTGCTTGAAAGTCATGCTAAAGTAAAATAAACGTCCTTGACTTGAAAGTGTGGAGGTTTGTAGGTTAAGATTAGTTTTATTTGCAATAATCCAGTCACTTTTATTTTAAACATGTGTTTTACTAGAAATAATATCCATTTATAAGTCAAAATTTTTTCTCAAATTCAGGAAGTTTAAGTTTTCACTGAGTCAAAGCCAAATAATGTTAACTGTTAAGAATATTAAAGAGAATTTTTATTGGTTACAAAATATCTAAGAAAATTATCGGCTGTAATTTTAAAGTCTGAAATGCTCTGATTCTCAGAAAAGGCTACTTTGTGTTAATTGTTTTTTTACTTTAAGTGAAGTCGTAAAGGCTTCCTTGGGTGTTTAGGCCCTTCAAAAGGCTGCATTCAAAGGGTAATAGAATTAAAGAAAAAAAGGTGATCTAACAAAAACATACTTGAACACTTTTTTTGCTTTCAAAGCCAAACACATGAAATCATATCATCTTGCCATATCCTGCAGAAAGGAAGATACACTGTTGCACTTTTTCTGCTTTGTATGTGATCTTAATCTCGTACCTTTTGTTCTGTTCTTTTGTCCCTGTGCATTTTCTTGAGGAGAGCTGGATCTGTGATTGTCTTTCAGAGTTTATGCCTTTCATAGGCAGAGAAATTTTCAGAGAGGCAATGATGAAATATGAAACACGTGCTGCTCCCTTATAGAATTAGAACTGTGTAAGAGACATTTCAGGCAGTGCTAAATAATGGTATATGTGAGGCATGTGTTGTTTGTTTTTTTTTTAATCTTTTTGAGACCGGGTCTCGCTAAGCAGTTCAGGCTGATGTTGAGCGCACTGTGTAACCCAGGCTGGCCTTGAACTTGCAGCAGTCTTCCTGTCTCAGCCTTCTGAGTCCTGGGATTACAGCCATGTGATTTCTAAACTGTAGGCGAAAATCCTATTAAAACAAATCAGAAAACACTAATGTAAAAGGAATCTCTACAAATTCATAAAATATTTTTACTTTTATTTTGAAAAAGATCCAACTTTCTGAAAGGAAATTTTCATTGACTTCTATTGTTCAATTAATGAGTCTGCTTAGTATTTAAATTATAATTTCCTTTACACAAGTGTAATGTGGGGAAGTATAGTTTTTCAGTATGAGACAATGGCTAAATTAAATTTTACTTTGGATATATAGATAATTTCAACATATGCAATTTCAGCAAAGAGTTATATAGGCTTTTTCTCTAGTTTAAAGAATTATTTGCAAGTTTGAGGATAACTGCAAGTTCAAGGCCAGCCTAGGCTATATAGTGAGTTCAAGGTCAGTTTAAACTACATAGCAAGACCCTGTCTCAAAAAACAAGAAATTGTTTGCATTGGAAATGACTGGATTGATTGAGTTACTAAAAGAATTCCTGAAATACAGAGTTGATTTCACAAAAGAGCAAACAGTTTAATGAAAACAAAACTCAAAAACTCACATTTTTATATATCATCAGTGCATGCTTTTAAAAGGAGAGTCTTGGGGCCGGGGATATAGCTCAGTGGCACAAGTGCCTGCCTGGCAAGCGCAGGGTCCTGAATTCGATTCCTGGTACCAAAAAAAAAAGAAAAAGGAGAGTCTTATTGAATTTTATATCCACAAAAATAAGAATTAAGTAAGAATTATGTTTATTATTTAGAAATGGCTAATTACTGGTATTGAAGTATTATTTACATTTTAATGTTTGTAATAATTTGTTAAAAAACAGGTAGGATTTTAGCACATTTTAAAATAATCTTTAAAAGTATTGTATACATTAAAAATAAGTTACTTTCAGTGACATCACAAAATTATAATTGTTAATGAAGTAAAATTTCCATGTATAAATTAATGTGACTTTAAATCTATGAAGAAATACTAAAACCTGGAGTTACTGGAGTGTGTGCAGCTGCATACTCATTTTCTGTGTTTTTTATATTTCTTAACTGGTTTAAAAAATACTGTTTTTGAGTACTGCAACTAGGCTTACTTCAGTATTATGATTATGATTAATAAGGGAGCAGTCAAAGAAAGAGAGGTATGGTATTTTGTGGGCAGAAACCAAATGAAAGAAGCTGTGCTTTCTACTGTATCAACCTCAAGTTTGTGTTCTTTTGATAAATCTGATAGCATTATTCGTAAACATACAAGCAAAGTTTGAGCATCATATATATTATTATAAAGTTATTTAGTCCTAACCTGCCTCAGATCCTACTATCTAGTATAGTTTAAACAACACATAATTATGAAAGAAAGATTTAGAATCCCTCATTTCTTCTTTTGCCCATATCCAAATCCTGTGTGCAAGAGGCACTGGTAGTTTGGAGACTACAAGTTTTCATGTATTGGTGTATTTGTACCAATATGTGTGACTCATTAGAACAGCTCTTGGTAAACTTAGTGTTTTAAAAGTACAGACCTTCTATTGTTTGGACTATTTTACTAACAGTTACATTTATTGAATAGTCTCTTGCCAGTATCTACCAGAGGAAAAAAGAATGACTATGGAAACCCCAAGGGTGATGTAGTTGGGCCAGGGGCATTTTCTAAGTGTTTTCAGCTCATCCATCTCCTTATTCCAATATGAGAAATGGAAGCATGTTCTCATACATTTATTGGATGTTCATATCTCTCCATGTTATTTTCAAGTTGAAGTTTCCATTTATTGGCATTTCCATACTATTCGCAATTCTGTGACTTTTACATAAAGTATGTACTATATAGGAGGAATCGTGCCTAAAATGGTTTGTGTATTATAACATTTTGAGAAGAGAAGTTCACAATTCTTTTGGATAGTTTTCTGTTCTTTGGATTCTTTTAAAATTCAAGTATTTTGTATGCTTACAGAAAGGACCCATTTAATAATAAGATTACCTGTTTTGAGCTGGAAATTGGAAACTTTTGAAACTCAGGAAATTGTTCTGACAATGTTTTAACTGCTCTCATATTAAGAGAATGACAAAATGTATAAAAATGACAAAAATAATTTGTACTGTTTTTTCCAAAAGTTTTTCTACATGCTTCCTGTTGTGCAATGAGGTGAAGGTTGATGGTATTTCTGTGTAGTGCTAATATAGTGCTTATTTTTATTTCCATGTAAAGGAAACAGATTTAAATGTTTGTGTGGCCAAAAGAGTGTCATTTAAAAGATAAAGTAACTTTATATAGAATGTATGTTAACGGTGCTTATTTTTACAATGTAACTCGTTTACAGTGTTACTTAATGCCTCTTTACAGAGTTTAATAGAGAAGCAAGGCTAGGAGACACCCGCATCCTGAAGAGCCTTTCATAACTTCACAGTCCATGCTGACAAAGTTTATTGTTTTCTTTAAAGTTGAACAGTTGACTTTTATGGTCCAAATGATGAACCTGTTAATAATAAATAATTAAATTAACCTTGAGATTTCTTATTAAAATGTAACATTGCAGCTATTAGAGAATATATTATAAAATTTTTAGATCATATGTCAAACAAAATGTTTCTATTTGTACTATAAAGAAAATGTAATTTTGCTGTTAATTCTTGTACTTTTTTATTGAAAATGTTTATAATTTTGCTTTTAAAATTTCTTATGAAGCCATTTGCAGATCATACACTTAATTTAATAAAATACTTTAGTCACAGTCCAGTGTGAGGAAGTCCTTTGTTTGATGCAGTAGGTGTAGTGGCTTAAACATTAAAGGATATTTTTGTATATAACTTTGTAATTGAGGGGAAAAGGGTCATAAAAGTTTCAGTCTTATACCACAACTTTTCTTCTGGTTTATTTTGGTGTAGCAAATGGTGAATGACTTTTGAACTAGATGAATGGATTAGGTAAGGCTTCTTTCTTCACACCCTGTGTCTTTTGATTGACACCAAAATTAACAGTTGTGTCTTTAGGGACTTGAGTAATCCCTTTTTTTTTTTTTTTTTTTTTTTTTTTTGGTACTGGAAATTGAACCCAGGGCCTCCTACTTGCCAGGCAGGCACTGTGCCTCTGAGCTATATCCTCGGCCCAGAGTATTCCTTAAATAGTATTAAGGACCTTATTCAGCTCAAAAAGCAGAATAATTCACTCATTTAGCAACAACTTAATATAATTATTCAATAAGTACTTACTGAGCTCTTATTACAGGGGACATAGTATGAGATAGCTTCTCTCCATAGGTATCTTATACTGTAATTGTTGTTACCAACTGTTACGTGTATAGTGATTTTTACCCTGTAATACTTTCATATATGTTCTATTTTAAATCTCAAGAGAATCTTATTACATAGATGGTACTATCCAAATTTAATGGCTAAAAATGTATAAAATTGAGAAATCAGCAGGTTTGCTACTTAGTAGCAGACATGCAACTCCAGACTAGGGTCTTAGACTTCCTACTCTAAAGCATCTGTCATAAGAGCAAGAATAGTTAAATAAGTATCATCCCCTGCTGAGAGATATGTGGCTGCACAGTAAATGTCTATGAATATCTGCCATCTATGAGGCTGGCTTCCTTTATGCAGAGAAACCTGGTATTTTGGGAAAACCCAAATACCATTGGCAAAAGGTTTATTTCTCTTTTACCCCAGAGATAAAGAATCCAGAAATGATAGGAATGCACCTCTCCATGAAGTTTTTGGGGACCTAGGATTCTTTTAATTTACTGGTCTGCCATATCCAGGGTATGACACTCAGTTTTGTAGGCCAAGATGGGTGGCTAAAGCTCCAGCCATCACGTCTACATTCTCTTGAAGGAAGAACAAAGAAAAAGGGAGCTGATGGTAAGACCCAGCGGTCTTAAAGACCACTCATTTTTGGAAGCTTCCATGGCACATTTCAGCTTATGTTCTGTTGGCCAGAACCTAGTCGTGTGGTCGTGTCTAGCTGTAAGGAGGCTGGGAAGTTGTTTATTTCAGACTGCCATATATTTAGCTAAAATGTGGGTGTTCTGTTGGAGGAAAGAGAGTGGATATTAGGAGAATGAATAGAAGTATCTGCCAAATCATGTTTTATCATGATATGCAAATAATGTGAAGTCCTTTTCTTTTTGAAAATTAGTTTTTAATGCATTCCTTCATCAGATCTTTGTTGGTAACTTCTATATACTAGGGATAATAAAAAGGAAAACACAGTTGTCTGTGTTTTAACTTTAAATATTTAAGTGCTCTTAGTTACCAACCTAGCTGATGAAATGGGGTTTCAGGTAATAACTATTGCCTATATGTATTCAGTGTGTGTTACTCATTACTCAGACTGATGCTTCCACAGGGGGAGTTGGGGAAACTAAAAATTCTGGATGAAAATATTAAAAACACTTTAAAAGCATTGTGTTGATAAAGTATTGGGGGCTTGTGCCAAAAGTCCAAGTGGAACTTGGAGGCACTTTTGCAAAAGGAGCCTCCCTGTTTCTGACTCACTTTAGCTTTGGGTATTGAGACAAAAGACAAAGGCTAGCAGACTTGGAGACTAATAAAAGACACCCTGTAGAGCTAATATCCTAAAGGGCTTCAGTGTTGAGGGGATGAGGGTAAATCAAATAATTTTTGCCCTTCTCTCACTCCCAGAAGCCTGTGAGGAATATCGCCTTGGCACTGAGAGAGCAAGAGACCCACAAAACAAACAAAACAGATGATATGGAATCTTTACTGGTCCATACAGATTATCAGCCCAAAGTCACATAACCCAGGGTAGTGAAAAAAAAAAATCTTCAAGCCATCAGTTAAGTTTAAAAGAGGTTGCAGCCTGCTGTTACCACGGTTAGCTGCCTGGGAGTGGCAAATGGCAGTCTTTTCAGAGGTAATGCACCTTCATCTTGGAAGATTTAATTTGATCAAGCCTATAGATCCAGCGATCAATGTATAGGAATTGTAAAAGACATTTGCAGAATATGTTAAATACCATCATTGGGGTACAGTCACCAAACTGAGACTGGGAAACTAAACAATGTGGCATCTTCAAAAACAATTGCAGAGAAAAAAAACACACAGATGACGGAAGAACTTGCACCTAAAGACTTAAGGGTATCAGCTGTTGCAGTTGTGGATCTTGTTTAGGTATGGCTCAGCAAAAATGAAACAAAACAAGAAAACCCTGTATAATAATAAAAGACAATTTGCAATGTGAACATTGATTGGATATTTATATTTTAAAAAAATTTATTTTAAAGAATAGTACAAAAAGAACAATATCAAAATACAAAACAAAGCAAGAACATTAAATGGATATTTATATTAAAGAACTATTGTTTTTAGGAATGAGGTGTGGTTTTTTCGGTTTTTTTTTTTCCCCCGTACTGGGAATCAAACTCACGACCTTGCACTTGCCCGGCAGGCGCTGTGCCGCTGAGTTAAATCCCCAGCCCTGAGGTGTGGTTTTAAAGAATAATTTTTGAAAGATACATAATGAAAACTGCAAAAATGTAGTTGAGATTTATTTCAAGATAAGATGGAGGAAGTGGGGAGAGGTTCTTAATGCAATGAGATTGGCCATAAATTGGTAAATGTTGACGATTATTCAGAAGAACCCCACATCTCCCTAATGGGACTTAGCAGAACAAATCACAGTGGTAGATAATGACCTTCACTCACTTCTGCCTCTTTTGTCTCCTCAGGGTGTATTTAATTGGTGGGAACTCTTGTATATAGAATTTTACCTGCAAGAGGGGTCTGGGAAACATAGTTTTAAACTTTCCACATTACTTAATATAGCTTATTTGTAAACTAAAACAAAAATGAATTTGTTGTGGAGAATAGAAACGTTAACTTTAAACATAAAATAGAATTCAAAGAAATATAATATTTTAGTTAAGAAACTCCCTTTCTTCTTGAGTAATGATTCTTAAGCAATAGTGTACACAAGAATCTATAGCTGGGTAATCCCAGCAGGCTGAGGTAGGATTGCTGTAGGTTGGGGCTATCCTGGGCTACATAGTTTAAGACTAGCCTGAATTACAGAGTGAGACCCTGTCTCAAAAAGCAAAAAAAAACAACCCCAAAAGAATCATCTATAAAATGCCTAGGTAAAATACAGATTTCTGCCCTCCTTCAGAATTCCTGAATCAGTCTCAGAAGGTTGGGCCTGCATTTTAAGTAAATATCCCAGAGGACCTGATACCACTGGGCCACACCTTAAGAATACTACCTCAAAGGCGAAGTCCAGCACTTTATCCTTAGCTTTTCCAGGTACCACCTCAACTTCTACCCCAGTCTTGGTTGCAGATTCTCAACCATAACCAATCCTGTAATGAGACACAGAAAGAAATTTGAACCTTTTAAATTTATATGGAATGCTGGGCATGATGGTGCACACCTGAAATCCCAGCAGCCAGAGGCTGAGGCAGAAGGATTGCCGTGAGTTCGAGGCTGCCTGAATTACACAGTGAACCCTTGTCTCAAAAAGTTTATATAGTATAGAATAACATTTAATCCTTAGCAATTCAGTGAGGGAAACTGAAGCACAAAGAGGTTAACTTATCTTTGCCGAATATTACACAAGAGGTATGGGACCAGGATTCAAATTGAGGCAATTAGGCTTCAAAGCTTATGCACTTAACCACAGTGCTGAATTACTTTTCAAAAGTGGGAGTTAGGACTTGCTGGATGTGGTGGTGTATGCCTGTAATTCCACCTGTTTGGAAGGCTGAGACAAGAGGATTGCAAATTTCAGGCTAACCTGAGCAATTTAGTGAGATCTTATCTCTTTAAAAAAGAGAAAAAAAAAAAAGACTGGGGATATAACTCAGTAGTAGAACACTTGCCAAATATGTGCAAAGCACTGGGTTCAAGCTCCAGAACCCAAACAAACAAACAAAAACAAAAAACCAAAAACCTAACACTTGTGGTTTAATAAGGAGAAGAGCCTGGAACGTTTACTGGCCTCACTTGCAGCTTCCTGAAGGTCTATCAGGCTTCATAAATAGTCTCTACAGAGGCCCTGTATATTTTCACTAATCCCTCAAAGTTCTCAAAGCTTCTGTCCACTGGCATGTTTCAAAGCTCCCACGTTGCTGGGTTTCTGTTACAGCAGAGCCCTCTTTTGGTTTCATAGTCCACATTGCCTATTGTGTTATCCCAAACAGTGGCTTAAAGCAATGAACGTTACCCTCAATTTCCCAGGATTCTGGGAGTGGCCTACCTGGGAGCTTCTTGTTTGAGTCCTTCATGAGGTGAAAACCAAGAAGCTGGGTGTCAGTCCTGTGAAGGCTACGGCAGGGTTGTGGAATTCACTTCCATGGCATGGTTGACTGTGACATACAGGCCAGGGAAGAGTAAATGGACTCCTGAGAGGCTGATAGGGGAAATGGAGGCGACTCATGAAAGTGTAGCTCAGGTAGAGAACAGATATGGACGTTTGACATGGAAAGCGGGAGGAGGTTGTGGGAAGGGAGAGAATTTCAGGGTTCAACATAGAGGTGACGGCATTGGTCCCCAACAGAATTTCATTTGTGACTGAGCATGGAGATGGTAGTCAAGAAAAGAGAAAAGGTCACCAGAGTAGAGAAGGTCACAGAAATAACACATTTCCAGGCCATCTGCTTTGTGTGTCGCCCGGGAAGGCGACAGGCACGGGAGCGAGCAGACAGAGCGGGTCTGTCAGAAGCATGAGTGAAGTTAAAAATGTTTCCTTTCTTTGCACAGCCCCCATGCTTCACACTGGTGGGGCCTGACTCAGTGTGGCGCACTCTGAGGAGAGACCTGTAAGCAGCATTCTCCCCCACCCTGCTATTTTGCATCGACTGAGCGTGAGGGGGACATGGGCCCCGCAAGAGCTGAGCCGGCTGTGAGGATGGGAGTGTCCCAGCTTGCTCTCAGTCACTTCTTCGCAGTGGGACCTGTTTCCTTTGAGCTTTCTCTTTTCCTGTGTGTTTATCCATTTGGATTAATGACAACCAATAAATTACACATGTGAAGTTATCCACTAGTTCGGATTGTTGCTGTTTCACTGTAGAAACGATCGCAAGCTGGTGGCGCCTCCTCAGTCTCTGCCGGGACTCGGACATGGATGGGGCTTTAGAGCGGCAAGAGCTCACTGTCGTCTCTATCTCTAGGCCAAGTTTCTCCTCTCATTGTTCTGTCTTCTAGGTAAAATTAATTTCTTCCCTTGAAGAATAATTCCTAGCAGTTGGTTACTCAAGGATCTATTTTTAAATCCCCTTATTAATTTTATATTATACTTATGAAATTATTAGCTAGAATTTTTGCATATAGTTTCTCCCTTGGCCTTTATATTTCTTGGTTCCTGTCCTTGGTGTCATGTTAACAGCTTTAGGTCATGTGCCTGTGATTTTATTTAAGCTAACTGAAATCTTTTTTTGGAAGCATGATAAAAAATCCATCTACATCTTTGAGGAGAAAAGAAGCAAAAGACTTCTTAAAGTATGATCTTATTTGTGTTTTAAAAGGATATATGTAGATAGATTCCCCTTATGTGCTGCTGTATACACTTCTAAGTGTGTGCGCACACACACACATACACACACACACTGTACAAACCCACATGTAAAGCAAATAGGATAGATTCTGGGTCCCCAGATGACTGAGCTTCAGGGAGTGTTGTCCTCAGAAGACAGTACAATGTAATCCTGATTTTTACTGGTGTTCCTCAAAGGACTTATATGAAATCCTTGTGTTTTCCATCACATAAATTATATAGACATCACTTCTGTGAGCACTTCTCTAAGTCTGCCTTCTCCATACATTCTGTCTCCCACTCTCATCCCCTAAAACTTCCCCCACCCTTTTCTGTGGTGCTGAGGATCAACCCCAGGGCTTCCTGCAGACTAGGCAAGCGCTCTACCAGTGAGCTACACCCTTAGCCCTGCATATGTTTCATGTGCCCCTTTCACCAAAACTCTCTTTGATATCTGCAGTCCCAGGACTCGTCTATTACCCCTCCCTTTTTCTTTTCATTTTTTTCCCCCTCTTGTAGTGAATAGCCTTGGGCCTTTGGGCTATATACCTATCAGTGTCTTTAGTTCTTCACTTATAACCCTCCTCCCATTTCATGTATTCTGTCTGCATAATAAGACAGGGAGGTGGGATATAGTGCATAGGAAGTGGACAGGGTATGTGTGTGTGTGTGTGTGTGTGTGTATGAAAATGATAGGAGAAAAAAGGGATGAACACTCCCACAGTAATAACTTTTGTTCCTGTTACACATGAAGATTTTCTGAAAGCTTCTGTAAGAAACAGAAGAGCACATTGCCGTGGTAATAGGCTGGGGAGTCTGAGGTAGTGATGGGAGAATTTACTTTTATTGTTTGAAAATTTTGTTAAACTGCTCTTAGAAAATGTTTTTAAAAATAGACACAATAGGTGTCTATTTTTAAATATAATGAAAAAGCCATACTTGATACTAGAGTGAATTATCTATGTAATGTAAATTGTAACTGTATATATATTTCTTTTCAATATTACGTTTTTAATTGGCACATGGTAACTGTATGTACTTATGATGGAGTACAGTGTGACACTTAGATGCACATAGACTACGTGCATTGGTCAGGGTAAATTGTGTATTGTTGCACATTTCCCCTTAGGCTGTGTACTAGCGTCAGACTTGAGATAATGGAGCAGGAATCTGTGGTGCGCTACCATTTTCGGGAAAGGCATGAATCTACCTTTGCAGAGTCTTGAGCTGACTCCGTAAATGCTGGAAGAGGGAAGGACAGGTCCAGGAGATCTAATTGTGAATAACAGAAGCCAATACAATGAATGGGAAAAAGTCGAATTTCATAGCAGCAAATTTTTTGAGTTGAATAAAGCCTTCTATTTGTAGCTTGAAAGTGCTCATTATATTCTAGCCAGAGTTGATTTTTTAAAAAAAATACATACCTAAATGTAAGCTGACAGAATTCCTGAGTTTCAAGGATAAAAAGAAAAACCTTGTAAGTTTCCATACAGAGAGAAGTTATTTACAATTGGAAAAGAATTGGACTGGCCCCAGACGGTGGAATCATATCTGTATCTATCAAGAGAAAAGGAATATAGCAACCCAAGAATTCTTTCTCCAGCTAAACATCATTCACCCACCAGGGAGAAAGAGATGCAAAAATATAAGGATTCCAAGAATATATCATCCATATACTCCCATCTGAAGAAACTATGAAAAGAGGACTCTAACCAAACCAAAAATTGGAGAGAATAGA